GCACCTTGTCAACATGCACATCATGCGCAGCCACACCGGGTATATCAAACAACAGCCAATCACTTGAGAGAGAGAGATACAAAGAAAATAACTCGATTAATGCATAAGGAAACGGTGACATAAACCTTAAGTTAATGAGCATATGAAATAAGTTGTTTACAAACGAATCCTAGAAAAGTTCACGAGGTCAGAAAGTATACTAAACGGAAATGCCACGAACACGAAAATGTTATGGGAATCGAATACAATTGGCTTAAGCGAGGTGTGCAAGTTAATGGAATAGAGTACAGGGAGATATTTATATGAGAAAGAAAAGCATTAAGGCGAAATTGAAAACACACCACCTGAAATAAAGAGACCTAGCATGCAAGCACGCTGTTAGTAAATCGAATGCAGCGTACCGACAAACGCTGCGCCAGTTCTGCCTACGTTCTCTGCAGAGCCCGTCGTCGCTTCGGTAGTAGTCCCGAGTGGCCTCGCTCATGGCTCACTAACCATGCCTGACTAAGGCACTCGCGACCGCATGTTCTACAGCACCATGCGCTTGATGTCGATGGAGAACGGCCCATCGGTGCTTGCCGCTTCCACACTTGCAGCTTCTTCTCTGTATGCATGAGGGCTTTCTCGTGCACCGCAGCAACTGCCTTCGTGATCAGATCGCGCCATGCACGTCGATCAACTGCCTTCGATTCCCATGATCTGCAATCAAGATTAGAACGTGGGAGGCCCATTTAATCATGTCCTGGTATAGTAACTTTGGTTTCCCAGCATGCCGCTCCCCAATACTCAGCTGACCATATAAGAGTTGTTTCGGTATCCGCGTTGAATTCATACGGCCCACATGACAAAGCCACCGCAGGTGTCTCAGCAAAACTATGCAGTCCACTGCATACATCCCACTTCCGTGTCTGCAACTCTGTCGCCCCAACCGATGCGCAAAATCCGTTGCAGACACTGCTGATGAAACCGCTCGAGATATCGCACATCCCGCCGGTACATCGTCCACGTTTCACTGCCGTATAGAAGAACGGACGGCAGCATGGATTTGTACACCATCAGCTTCGTGCCAATGGTAAGCTGACGGTTGTTCCACACTCGGTACTCTAGCTTCCCGAATGCCGCCGCTGCCTTCGACACGCAGCTCACTGTGTAGCTGCTGATCAGTCGACATCACACTCCCAAGGTAGCAAAAGCGGGAGGTGGTTTCTAATACTTCAGCACCAATGCTGATTCGCGGCAATATTGAAGATTGCACCTCCGGTGAAGGCTGAAAGAGACAGACAGTTTTGCTTGGGTTGATGGTGAGCCCGAATTTGGCCGCTGTCGAAGCCAGAGCACTAGTCATGTGCTGCAACTCATCCGCGCTGTGTGAAGACAACGCATAGTCGTCAGCAACATACGGATAGTTGTCTCACAGACTACAGTTCTCGCACCGAAACGACGGATGTTCAGCAACCCACCATCAATACGGTGCTCCACACGAACACCGTAAGCACAAGCGGCATCAAAAGCACAAGACAACATTGCATGAAGATATATATTAAACAGGGCAGGAGCTAAGACGCAGCCTTGCTTCACACCAGAGACAACTGCAAGGTCATCCGAGGTCTCTCCACTCAGCTGCACCCTCGCTCGCATACCACTGTGTAGATAGGCAATTAAACTTACGAACTTACGCGAGCAACCAAACTTACCCAACACCAGTCACAATGCCTCGCGGTTCACCGTATCAAATGCCTTGGTGAAATTAACAAAAAGCGAGTACAACGGTTGGTGTCGCTGTCTGCACTTCTCCTGTAACTGACGAGCCGCAAACGCCATATTTATAGTGCTGCGACCCGAACGGAATCCACAACGCTCTGCCGTCACGTTAGGTTCCACCACTTGACTGACGAGGCGGTTGAGCAGGATTCGGGCAATCACCTTGCCCACACAACTCAGCAAGTCGATGCCACGATAATTCGTGCAACATTGCTTGCTACCTTTGCCCTTGTACAGTGGTAGCACAAGGGCATCCTTCAGCCCAGGAGGCACCTCCTCCTCAATCCACACGCGTTGCACCAAGTGGTGCAGCGCAGTCACTAAAGTGGGTCCGCCATGTTTCAATACCTCAGGCGGTATCCCGTCGGCTCCGGCACACTTGTTGTTTCGCAGCTCAGCAAGTGCCCTCTGCGTCTCATCCAGTGTCGGCGTATCCGCCAGATTCGCCTTCACATCGTGCTGCTTGAGGCCGTTCAATGTAGGCCAGTCGATCTCTGAACGCTTGTTCAAGAGACAGTCAAAGTGTCTTCGCCAGATCTGCATTATGTATGCAGTCTGTGTGCAGGTAACGCCTGAACTACCATCGATCAGTGTCCTCAGCGGCTCCAATCTCGGTCCATACACCGCCTTCAAGGAGTCAAAGAATTCCTTGTGTTGGCGGCGTTCGGCATAGCAGTCCATCTGTTTCGCCTTCGCCGTCCACCATGCATTTTTTATGTGACGGAGCTCTCGGGTCAGTCGCCGTCGAAGTTTGCGAAACTGACTACTCTTCCCCAAGTCACTGGGGTCTGCCACATGTGCAGCAAATGCTGTATTCTTCTCCAATACCAATGCGCCAATCGTCGTATTGTTCTCATCAAACCAATCCGGCCACTTACAGTTTGCGCGCCCGATTGTCCCCTCGGCAGCAGCTATCACCTGGTCGCGAATGTGCTGCCACAGGTCGCCCACTGTGGCTATGCATTCCACATCACACAGGCGTGCAGCCATCGCCTTCTCCATCTCAGTACGTTTCGCCACAGTACCGAGGGAGAGAAAGTTAAATTTGCGCCGATTCACGGCGGGGGTGCAATACATAGATTTACGAAAATATATGTACAGTTCGGTCCGCACCAACTTGTGATCAGTGCCACACTCAGCTCCACGCAGTACACGTGTCATGCGCACTTCACGCATATCACGCTGACGTACGATGACATAGTCGAGCAGGTGAGCGTGACCACTCCATGGGTGCGTCCAAGTAGCTATATCACTCACACTCAGTGCAAACCGAGTGTTTGTGATCGTCAGGCCGTGAGTGGCACACGGTGAGAGCAGCCTGTCACCGTTCTCATTCGCTGAACCAATGCCATGCGAATTGATAACATCTGTCCACACCGATGCATCACGCCCAACGTGCGCGTTGAAATCACCCAGCAGAAATAGTCGGGCGCTCCTCGGCACAGACCGTATCACGGAGGATAGCTCAGTGTAGAATTGATCACGCGTGTCATCAGGATAACACATGGTCGGACCGTACGTGCTTATAAAAGTAGCAAACTTACCACTTCCGAGTCGTAGGCGAACAGTCATCAGTTGCGCGCTGATGCATGTTGGTTGACCCACCAGGTGGTCATGGAGGCGATCGGATATTGCAAATCCGACCCCATGATCACGTGGTGCTGAGGCGGCGTTGCCCACCCAGTAGAATGTGTAGCCAGCACCTGTTTCATGCAACTTACCTTGCTCAGCGAGCCAAGTTTCACTGAGCGCCGCAATATCGATGTGGTAGCGCGCCAGTTCCATCGCGACCAGTACAATGCGTCGCTCCGGGCGCTCGCTGGAGTTCCGGTCCAGTAGTGTGCGCACGTTCCAGCACCTGATGCTGAGTGCTTTGCGCGCAGGCATACGATTGCATTAGTGGGCAATCGCACGCGAGGTGGTCGTTGAGCGTCGGAGGTTTGCTCGAGGGACTCCAACCGGAGCCTTTGGCTCAATAGCCTGACCTACAAAGCAGTGGGTGGTTTGGAGGTTTGCTTGAGGGACTCCACCCGGAGCCTTTGGCTCAATAGCCTGACCCACAAGGCAGTGGGGAGCAGATCCAGCTCTGGAATCTGATTGCAGACAGATTGGGATCTGCTTGGCGGCCGCCACACGCAGCCTTTGAGGTTCTGGAACGTTTTATATATGTTTTGCGACCGTATTAGGATACGCACCTGCGACGACGGCCAGACGCAGGTGGGTTTTTGGCGGGTTTGCACCAATTTGACCAGGGGCTGCCTGGCTTGAGGCCAGCAGTAGCAAACCATTGAACACCCGGAGGTGCGCTAATGCTCTACGCCAATCGAGCTGTGAGCTTATAACCCGTACACCTGTTGTCTCCCAAGGCTAGGTTTTACGGGAAGAGGGCCATCGACCACTTCCTAATCTCCGAAGAGGATGGACTAGGATACTGCCAGGGCGCCCACACCTGACATGAGAACGACTCGGGTCCTCAGCCAAAGACTTCGATTAAATGAACACCCGAAAGGCTGCGGGTCTAGCACATGGTCAGTTTACTGACTCATGCGGATTGGTGGCCTGCATCTTAGCAGAGAGAAGTGTGAAACCCAACTCCCACCCAGCAGTCGCCACGAGGCGCCCAGGACATGAGCAAATGGCACAACAGTAGCAGCAGTGGGTAGATTATCTGTCAGGATCTAGCCACCATGGAGTGGCCAACTTACGATGTTGCCCAACTTGGTGAAGCTGCGGCAGATAACTCACGATGAGGAAGCTGGTTAACGGACATACGGAAGACATGGTCTAGCCAAAGTTAGTAAGATGCAGTAAACACTCGAGTGAAGAACCAGAGAGCGTCTTGCTAAAAACCAACGGATGGACCTCAGTATTGCTGACTAAAGAAGTATTAATGAGTGGTATAGCAAAATAAGATATCCAAAATGATTGCATTGAAATCGCAAGCAATTGGTTTCTAGGTATAGAGAAAAGCAAAAAATAAGCCGTCAGCTGTATGCCGTAACGGCGCTTTGCTGCCACGCGACCACCAACAGTCGCGCGCGGGCTGAATATACTGCGAGGATGACCACCCCCTACGCGGATTCGAACCGCTGACCTTATGGTTGTAAACCAGGCGAGCAGACCACCCGGCCAGCGGCCGAGAGAGGGAAAAGCAAGAGAAGAGCGAACCGGAAAACAAACCGAAAGATGCATATGCTGATATTGCGTTCATTGTATAGCGAGGAAACAGGGAAACTCACTTAAGCCGATGTTCTTCCCTAAGCATCCCAAACGTAAGTCGTTGGCTGAACAGATCAACTATCGCCTGAGGTAGGCTGGCTAGCAAGGATCTAGTTTCACCGACCACAGCGACCCCGGAGCCTATCAAATCTGTCAAACGGGAACACATCAAAAGTTAAATTTTGTTGGACTCAGAAAACGTGGCAGGTGGAATAGGATGGTGATAAAGGAGGGATGAAAGTCTAGAAATTCACAGAATGCAACAAAAATTCGAGGTGCTCGGTTGGAACGTAGGTTCTGGGTAGTTTATTGGAGTGAAAGCGATGATGAAATTCCTGTCTAAATTGATGATAGACAGGTAAGAATATTCCGGGACTAACAGGAGACTATTTTTCAAAACGGATAGTCATGCTTTTGATCAACGGGGACTTCGATAGGTAGTCCATAGAAATTAGAAAGTGATAACATAGCACCGAAACGACCGTGTGCGGTGGAGGGTGGCAGTTAATGTGCAAGAAAAGAAAATCGACAGATGGTACTTCGCATCAAGCTCACATGGATAGTAACTGGGTTTACAGAAGTATCAGCACCATGGCCCAGTCATTCAACTGCCTGCATGGGAATGTCATCGAAGCCTCCGGAAAATGACGAGCGAAAAGATAGCTTAGAGCAACACTAGGAGAAGTGTCGTAAGTAAGTAGTAAGCAATGGTCCGGTATAGCAATAGCTGACAGCACATAGTTAAAAGTTTTCCGGTCAATGTGACAGTTATTGTATGTCTGCAAATGAAAACGATCAATGGGTAAGTGGAGTTGCACAATATGACGCAGTCAGTGGTGTTTCTGCATTCGATTTCTTTCACGTGGGTGTTAATTTTCGTCCCATTCTGATTAGTCTAACGCATTTCCTGCATGATTTTATTTTCACTGTGTTCTATTTGCACGCAAACTCACCGTCCTACCGTTGTTATTTATTGCTACTCTTATAGTGTGAGTCGTGGCAACTGGATTCACCGCCCTTCGGTGCTCGGATCATAGTTGTTCAACTGAACTATATTGAATTACATCACATACAGATCTCGTATATATTCCGTTTGTATGAAGCAGGGGTCGCGGGGGCCCGGGCCCGGGGGCCAAATGCGGCACGCGTTAACATTTCAACTGTCCCGCTGCCTCATCATGAAATAATAAATTCAAGCTTGGACTCTTTTCGTACGCAAGTAGTTTTTGTTATTATCCTAATGTCGAACTGAATATGGCCCGATATATTTTTACCTCAAAACGCGAAAAGTTTGGACACCCTTCGTGTAAAGGAATAAGACCATAAGAGGTTTAAATGAGAGGTACGTGTTGATGGAACGAACCGCTCTTCACTAACACGCAAATTAATCGCAAGTAGATGAATCCATGGGACAGCACTCCATGGTCATAATATTGTCAAAATACTGGATGTAGCGATGTATAAAGTATTCAAACATGTACAATGAACTGACTAATGCGGATAGCGCGCAAGGAGTCCCCCAAAAAATGGAAAATCGAAGAAAAGATGTAGCAGACAGTCATAGGAAGTAGTTGAGTTATTGTTCGTTCTGAGACTGAATATCACTGGAACCTAGCGTTAACGCAAACGAAGTTCAAGAACTGTCAATGACGATAACAGGACTCTTGTGGCAAGTAATCAAAGCAGTGTCATGGTATGGATATACGCGTTGACGGCAGGCAAGTCACAGATAGGTGTAGTGTACCAAGTGTAAATAAACAGGCTGGGACAAAAAGAAACGTTCCGGCTACGGACCATAATGTGTTAGCGAACAGTGATGAAAGAAATGAAGTCACAAGGAGCAAATTCAGATTAAAAACAAGGAGATCAGATGGACTATTAGATGAAGCCGAGCTGGGTAAGTCGATTCAGATGAAAGGTACCAATAAAGCAAGATGCGTGCAGTGTCAGTAGGGGCGCTGTGCGCGGCAAATTAGCGTGATCGATCACTGAAAATAATTTGAAAGCATGGGTTATAAAAGCAATTCAAGTCCTGTCAAAGCTGGGAGGAAGAACAACTCTAGTGAAGAACCCACCTCTGAGTAACTGGCTCTTTAAAAGACAAGTGATCCGGAAGGTGCCGGCAGGTACAGAGTGTCTCTCCATGCTCTCAATGTCATCCAGGTGCAAAACGCAAGGAGCTGAATTCTAGTCCACGATGCATTGTTATTTAAGTCAACATTTACTCACCTTTGCTTGCTCAAACACATCAGTCCAGGCCTTTAGGTTAGCTGGAATGGTACCGACTGACATGGATATCATTTTGACCCCTAGTGTCTTTGGGGAAACTGAAACAAACTGGTAACTTACCCCAGAAACGGCCTCTAACAGAGTGGTTTTTCCACAAAATGGAGGGCCATTGATAAGCACAGAGGGCCAAACGGGAAGCACAGATCTGCTCAACAAATGTGATCGAATAAAGCATTTCAGCTGCGTCTAAGACCCAGTTAGAATGAAAGACGACTAACGAGAAGAGAAATGGGAGTGGTATCGCTGATGTCGGATAAACAAAGCGTTGGTGTTCGCAATGAGCAGATGCTCGAAGCTTTGAAAGATAGTAAAGGAGCATGTGCTGTACCTGCAGCATTTGATGAATTTCTCAGTCGTTTGCGCGGTGTTTTAACGCTGATTTCTTCCGATACAAGGGTGTCTGCTTTTGTAGACTTCTCTGTGAATGATGGTCGGTCGGAGCGAACAATATGTTCAGGAGATTGGAACATACGTTCCGCGTTCACCAACCGCAAGGCTTAAAGTAATGACGGAGGTATAAAACGTCATACCTTTGAATGCATCTTTCCGCCATGCCTTCAGGTTTGCTTTGGTGCAGGAAGTGGGGGAGGCCTGGGAAACGAAATCGATGAAGTCAACTACCGAAGTTCGGTCTGCTGCTCCCGAAACGAACTATGATACTCAGTGAGAATTGGTACACAAACCTCTCGAGCTAATGGTATCAGATATGTACGCTGAATTTGTGGACGGTGATAACCGGGAGAGTTTTGCATTTCTGAAAATAATCACATAAAAACAGCTGTCGAACATAACCGAAGAGTGAAATGGAAAGAAGTAAAAAGTGCTCTGGTGTCGACAATGGCAAAATATGGAGCGTGCTTGTCAACGGTAGAAAGCAATCGCGTGATCAATGCAAATTCGCGTATCAAAATTTCAACGAAAGTATCTACTAGCAATGAACTAATAGTAATTACGGCGTATCACGGGGATAAGGATGATCGCAACGTCGCAGTGAAATGGCGGGCATGCTGTAGATACCCGAAAAACAAAATTCTGTAGTACTTCCAAGACAACTGTTGAGGCATGTTTCTTCCCTAAAACTGCGAGTTATGTTTAATATGAATATATCGAACTGTAGCTAGTCAGCGATGGACCCAAATAGATCGCATTGCCGAAAAATAGAGAAGGCGTGGTTTCATCCTGGACCGTCGCTCGTGCTGGAATACCTGTGTCGACTCTGATCATGCCTTATACACTGTAATTTTTCCATAAAATTCGCCGGGAGGAGGCGCCAAATCACCTTCCGGCAGGTTTTGTGTAGGAAATTAGTGCTCGCAAGAAATAAGCGAGCATCTTCATACAAATGAAGTAACCACACATCGTTATCATTATGGGAGCTTACACCATGTTGGCCGCCCAGAAGCAGTGCATCAATAGATAATTTTCCAACTTGACCCTTAAGATCCTCAGCCAACACAACAGTGTCCGAGCTTCTTCTGTGGCGAAGGAGCTCGTTCAATCGGCGATAGAAGTCAATTGTTACCGAATCATCATTCGAGTTTGAGGGTGCATAGGCAGTGATGACGAATAGACACCTTCTAGTCCCGCGCGACTTCGAAGCTTTGAACGAGCCAGCCAATAGGACTGCACACAACCGGCTACTGATTAGAATCCAGTCAAGCAGAGCAGCTTCAGCCGGGGGCTCAGGGAAACACTAACACCGGCTTGGCCGGTGCTCGAAGCTGCATCGTCCCCGGATGGATGCAATGAGAAAGTGTTGCAGGTGTCATCTGGAGAGGATCGCAATGTGAGCACTGAGCTCTATTCTTGCAGGCGGGTCTCCGATAAGCAGTAGATATCGATCGAGAGGGTCTCTACTGTTCGGGCAAGTGCTGCCTGTTGACCGATCTGTAGCAATGTGCGTACATTGAGGCATGCCAATCTGAAGAATGATCGAGGGCTCCAAATGGAAGTCAATCAACTGGGCTTGGCCGCTTGCTTGGAGATGGGCTTGTCGACAGGACAGGAATGACGCTCGGCGTTCACATGTGAGTTGAAACTAGAAGGTAAAAGTCTAGCAAAGCAAGGTGAGGGAGGGCCAAGAATTGGGGGGTTGAAAACAGGGGGGATAAAAGTGAAGCTGGAACGATAACGGTGAAAAAGCGTAAGAGGAGGAATAAGAAGACGGGAAGGTTTGAGCAGTAGCATCCAAACCCCTATCCACCCTGCTAGATGCACCAGACAGGGCATCGTTGATTATACTCTGCGGTTGCCAGCGTATTAAATAAACTGTTTGAAAGCTAGTGACCGCCTCAAGAGCAACGATCCAGACTCAGGGACTGATGTCGGGAGCAGGCATGGTTGCCAAATATGTAGTATGCGTCAGGTCGAGGATTCCAAGAGTTTCCGTGTCCAGTGCGTACGTAGGTCGTGAAAGACCTTGGGAGCTGCAATGGAAAGAAAATACCCCGTAGGTGGCTGGATGCTCATGTCACAACCACCTAGTAAGAGATCACAGTAAACCGAACGTGAAAGTAAAGAGAAGAGGAAGAAGCAGTGGCTCACTCACCGAGGTACAACGATCTCCTTACCGTAGGGATCACCTGACGAGAAATCGTTCCTTATTATCTGTCAATCGTCATACTATGACGATTGACATAAATCAATGTTCATTTGGTAGTAGAGAGCAGGAGGGAGATCCGTTGTCAGCTCCATCACTTCCCGATCATTGCTGGGATGCTCGCATCATTGCGTAATGGAAACTCCGGAGAGGCTGTCGCACTCGTAGCTGAAGCAACACAATCCCGGCATACTCAACGGGGGGAACCGTAGTCGTTTGAAGCAAACCTTCGCCTGCACATCAGCGAAGGGGCCCGGAAACCGGTTCCAATCCTTCACAACGCGAGTGGATAGAGTAAGAATGGACCGCACTTTGAGCCTCCTTGGTTTGAATATTTTCTATCGGTGACCTCTAGTTAAACTCCTAACGTTGAGGTGGAAAGACTCATGCAACACTGCTCAGCTCACCCCTGAGGATACGTGAGGTAAAAATCAAATCCCCGCGGCGGCAACGGTAATCCATAGAAAACAGATGCAAATGTCGAAGCCGAAGGGAATAGGGCAGGTCACGTAACACAGACACGAACTTCGATCCACGCCGTTGGAGCTTTCCAATCATGTCACGTTCAAATTTGGTAATCGGGTAGGCAGCAGTAAGGCCGTATTCTAGAATCGGGCACACATGCGAGGTGAACAGGAGTCTAAAGGGCTCCGGCGTCAGAGGGCTCTTCGAATAGCGTAAAATATCATGTAGACAGCGGCAACCCGCTTCATGGTGTCCTGAATGGATGTTAAGTCTGGGGACACAATCACGCCAAGATCTCTCCCTGTGGTGACATTTTTGAGCAATAAACCACCTACGTGGTAAGCGCCGAATTTTGCAGAAGCGCCAATAGGCAGGACGAAACACTTATCTTAATTGATGGGTAAACGCCACTGAATCGACCAATGGTGCAAAAGACTGAGCGTCTCTTGTGGTCGATCAGCATCCTCTAGAGAGGATACGATCTATATCTTCTGATCATCCGCATAAATCAAGCAACCCGATTGAAGCTCAGACGGCAGATCGTTAGTGCTGTTGTAGAGTTCGGGGCCGAGGACGGAGCCCTGTGGGACACCACTGGTCATTTACATAATCGGAAAACTTTTCCTTCACGCTCACCAGCATGGAGCGAGCGTACAGGAAATCCAGGAGAACAAGTTCCCATCGACGCCGATTCCTCGGAGTTTAAAGAGAAGTTGTTCATGCGGGACATTATCAAAAGCCTTATTGAAATCCACAAATCACATCCAGACGTTTGCTAACATCCCAGGAATTTGCCCATTTCACTTTAGCCACAAGCAAGTCGGTAGTGCAGGAGCAAGCCTTGCGAAAACCGTGCTGGGCACAGGATATCAGATGAGACCTCTTGAGATGACTGCGAAATGCCTGTTTCATCTGTGTGCCTGCCCGGGTCTGGTTACTTAACGCTCAAGAGGAAAAGAAGCTGTATCACCTCTACTACGTTGGCAGGAACACTTTTGCCCGTCGGTCCTGGCAATCCAGCTCAAAGCCGAAGCCGGATTATCTCCTCTTCCTCAGAGGGTGCACTACTAACGCAGGGTAGTGTCTGCAAAGACCAGTTGGATGCAATTAAGCCAAAAATAAAGACGAGGACCTATGCGGCTGTGGCGGGCATAAACGCTGCAGAAACATCCGCGATGAACCAGGTCAAAAGACAGACGAAAAACTCAGCTCTAAGGCCTAAAGCAAAATTTAAGCCAACGCAAATAAAGCTCATTATTGACAAAGTTACCCAATTTGAATGGCTCATTAAAGAAAAACCAGTACTACAAAAGCCAGGTCTCTCAGGAGGAAACAAAGTACCACTTGGGCGTTGCTTAATAATTACGAATGCTTCTGAATCCGAAGAAAGACCATCAGCTGAAAGGAGTCTTGACGACCATCCTACGCGATGAAGGTGAGCAGGGTATCAACATCGTCTCTGCTTTCCGTCTAGATAGAAAGCAGCATAATCCATCGAAGACTCGCCAACTAAAAATCGTCTGTCAAGATGATGATGAATGTTGCCGTATCCTCAGGCGTACCTCGTGTCTCAAAGGAGAAACCTTTGTCCTGTAAGACCTTTCCCCAGAATATCCGTCGCAACGGGACTGGACCTTCACATGGTGCGACGGTTTGCGTACCATATTGACCCATTGAGCTATATTGGGTGATGCCTCCGGGCACCTTGAGAGCTACTCCTACCAGATTGGTCAATGGCAGAGAGGTCAGACAAACTCAGTCTCCTGGTCCTCCAGGTTGGGGATTTGAAATGGGATGGCGTCCATTTCTGTAAAACTAAATCATTGCCACCTCCCCGCTGCCTTGCGGACAGGTTTTTGAGCCAAAGGCTTTGGATGAGGACCCTAATCGTTCTCCTGTCTAGGTCTGGGCACCCTGGCAGTATCTCAGCCCACATACAACCATGACATTTGCTTCAAACATGAACTTCATCCTGCAACGGCCGCCGCGCAGATTATCAAGGGTCGCCTTATCTGCTGCATACAGCAAGACGGATAAGCGAAAACATGCTACTGCTGGCGCCTCCCTTCTTTCTTTTCCACCTTTTTCTCTTACTCCCATCCTGACCCCCATTAATAACCTTCCTTCTATAATTCCCAGCTTAACTGATAGCAACCGAAATGCCACTGGAGTAGAACCATCTGCAGCCACCATCCCACAGCACCTATCGGACGTCTATCGGCAAAAGTCCCTTATAAGGCCACGCTATCCCGTTTCCATGGTGACATTCAATGTTCGCACTCTAAGACAAACAGGTCAACAGGCCGCACTCGCAAACACCTTGGACACACTGGGTATTGATGTGTGTTGTGTGTCCGAAGCTAGGATCAATGACCCTAACGGGGTTATGGAATTAAGTGCACCCGGCTTATCGTCTCGTTATTGGTTTCACGCATCCGGAGACGCCGATGCAGCACTCACGGGTCAAGTTGGTGTAGGTATCATTCTAAGCTCCAAGGCTGAGCCATCGTTGGTTGATTGGATTCCGGTGAACAGCCGTTTATGTGCAGCCCATTTGACGACATCAGCTAAGGTTGATTCACGAAGTAGTACAAAACGCTGTTTGTTCGTGATTTCCGCTCATGCTCCCACCGACTGCAGTTCCAATGCTGTCAAAGACACATTCTATCACGAACTGAATGCGCTATTAC